CAGACCAGGTCCAGCCGTATGATAAGGCGTCGAGGACTGGGCCTGTGCGCCCCATAGTCTCTCCTGTTCACAGCTGGTGCCTGTCTCTGCCTCGCAAGCGTACTGACCGAAATGCTCGCTGCCGCCGCCAACGCCGGGGTTGACCTGCAGGCGGAGGCAAGGAGATTGCAGCAAAATGTGTTGAACAAGAAGAGAAACGGTAAATAGAAAATGACTGTTACTTTTATTTATTTATTTGTTTTCGGGCAATTCAAGGAATGGCGCCGGAAGGGAGCATTGTTATGTTCCACCTGCTCTTTTTAAGTCTGCTTGCGATGTCGGTTTTCTGGGGCCAGATTTTTCTGGCTGAATGTTCGCATGTTTGGACGAAAGGTTATGGTGCATTTATTGCGCTAGAAACAAGAACAGTCAGCACATGTTTTGGTCGGTTGAATGGCGGGATGGTCATCTCTAAGCGGTTTATATTTCGGGGCAGAAGAAGGGGTCGGGAGGAAAGTACTGGCCTAGTGTTTTTTTAGCGAAATAGGATGCTGACTCATCGGAGGGGTGGACGGAAAATGAACGCCCGCTTCTAAGAGGGACAGTCATTGGCTGGATGGTGCTGGATACAAGTAGAAGTCAAGTCTGATTATTAAAAGAAACTTGGTAGAAACATATGGAATTATCAATTTGACCCCTCGTGAATGGATGTCCCTTTACTAGATAACGTGGCTGGGATATACTTTTTACACAAAATTTTACCTTGTCGGCAGTTATAAATATTGACCTGGCAGCTATTCTACCTAACGATGATGACAGGTAAAAAGGTCTGTGGGAGATTTGATTAGCTAACCGACATTGATAACGAGTCACTTTTTGGATGACAGTATGCGGCTTCCCAAGAGGACCTCTTTCACCCGCGTCATCTGATGGCGAAGTTGGTTGCACAACAGGACGCAGGACCTAGAATCCAATCTTCTTGCAGCAAAACGAGAAAATGGGCTGGGTGACTAAATGCACTGCATAAAAAACTGCCCTCTGCCTTGGTTACTAGTCATGGTGCAAACAGCCTGCTGAACGAAGACATCTCGAAAAGGGCACCGACTAGAGATGGCTAGTGGATTTTTTTGATCAACTTTCGGCCTTCCAATAGGATAATGCAAACTGTCTCTAACCAGCAAAGGGGTGGATAAAAACGCATTGCTTAGCCGCTTTTTGCTGTGATTTAGATAAGCCTGAAGGCGTGCGGAAAAGTTGTAAAGCGAGATCGGCTTTAGTGGTTATGCAACGGGCGTGTGCGGAGAGCAGACAAGCTGCAAATGTGTCTGACAGAGTACTGCTGCAATTTCTCCGTCCTATAAAGTTTGTAAAGGAGCCAAAAGATTGAAACTTTGGGAATATAAAATGGCGCGCCGTAAGCCTCGAAATAAAGGTGTTTTGCAGTAGTCTTTCCAAGGAAGAAGGATACCCCGGGTCGATGAAGTAATACGCGGTTTTTGAAAGCACACACACTAATCCAATGAAGCTTTACACTAAGGAATAAGTCTCAAATGTAAAAAAAACCAAAGCTTAGTCCGAACCTCCCACAAACAAAGTCATTGCAGGCGGCCTGCAGGAAATAATCACGGCAATGGCAAAAATGAATTCAATTAGGTATTAATACTGAAAGGCCAAAAACAGCCTGACAATAAAAATACGAACAGCAAGTGTCCCTTCAGACTTGAAAGATGTTAGCCCTCTGTAAGGCTACGAGGTTCTTCCGAACTTGTCGTCTACCAACGGTCGATATAAAAATGCTGATCTTGGGAATCATAACTATACGAAAAATAACATTTACAAACGTTAGGGTATTTAAGTTAAACACATACTCTATCCCCCCTCCCCCGTCACGGGCGACAGTTTTTCTCCTTAAAAATCCCGCAAATGGCATTCAAACCCCTAGAATTCTGAACAATGCCTAAGAAGTTTTTTTACTGACTGCCCTTTTTACGCAGTTCCATGACTGGCAACGCTCCATGTTCTGCATCATAGCTGCTCGGTACCAAGAGGGAGTTCAAAGATATTTACATATTTTTCCCTAATAAACCTGGCCTGACACGGAAATTACAAACAGACGACTATTTAGTTAACTGAACGAAGATCAGAAATGGCTTTCAAAGGCCCAGATAAAAACAAATCTACTATATTGTACTGCCATGAGGCCCACAAGTAGACGATTTTTTCAAGGAACCAATGAAATAAATAACTCTTACAGGTAGATTAGTTCTAAACAAGGGGCCGATTTCCTTATTTGAAGCCGTGGTCTGGAGAAGTGAAATATGACGATGGTGTACCGTTTTGGAATTGGTACTAATTGCGCAGGCTTTATGAACTTCCTAAGTACACGGAAAACTTCTACAGAAAAAAAAATCAATTTCCGCCCCTTCGATTATGCGTGCCGGTAGCGGGAAGATCACACCCACGGCGTCTACAGGCAGAAGCCGTCAAAGTTTAACAGGGACCAAACACGTTTTGGTTAACAAAACTAAATTTCAGACAGCTTTGTCGCCATTTAATGAAACAAAAATGGGGGCAAAATAAAAACTTTCGAGATAAGTACAAGCAGTACAGTCTACATGGTCAGCTGTCAGTATCTCACTTGTTTTAACCCACATTACCGTTGGCTGCGATGAAATGCGGCAGTTTTTGTACCAGAATGTGGCTGGTCTTTTAAAGCATACATTTTACCGAGACAGGAAATGCTGTCAGGCTCAATCAAATTAGTGGAATGCAGTCGCTAACTGTCCATTCGTCGGGAGACAGAAGTAATAAAGTCTGACACAACATCGACAAGGCGGGCAGTTGAACCATGAGCCTTTCAAAGGAACGTGAAGAATTGCCCAGACCACACGTATGCTTGACTACGACCTACGGCACTCGGTTGACGAACTGCGTCTTTTGGTCAAACAATACAGTAAACAGAACTTCTGTACGGCAATGGAGAAAAGTACGGTAAAATTGTCTGTTCATACATGGGTGCACAGAACCGTCATTTGTCCAAATACTTATTTCTGTGGCGTCTTGACTAGACAAACAAACATCACATGGCAAATGTGTCAGGTTACAGATCGACTGAATGGGTGCTTGAGTTTTGAACTAGATCTAGGCAGGGCACGTTATTAAAGTCAAAGGTATGGGCGAGTCGAAATCGAGAAGCTCAGGTAAAGCATAAACGGAAAAAATCAGACGGACCACCGTGATCCAACTTGTCACTCATACCAAGAGACAAGACCAGCAGACTATCCAGGCAAAACGGAAACTAAGGAAAATTAAAAGGCAGACACGAATAATACACAAGGAGGTCGTAGCAGCCGTTTAACACTAACGTTGACTCTACCAACAAGGAGATGAGAGAAGAAAATATGATGATTTCCCAATACGATTGTCCTCGTCACTCTGCCCAGCTGAAAAATAAGTTGAGCCAACGAAGGGTGAGAATACTATCAACACAGTGTCTAGTGCGCCTTTATGAGACGGAAGGCTACCGTGGAGTCTACTGGATTGGACCAGCCCTACCTGGTAGCGTGGCCCAAGTGTTTGTCTGGCACGCCAATACCACGCAACTTGTTTTTCGACTAGAGACAATCTGAGAAGCAAGTGGAAGAGTTATAGAGCATCCGTAGCATGTTGCCTTATTTGTGAATGCTCAACCTTTTGCATAAGTATGTATACATTCGATGAACATGCAACCGAATTCTCGTGAACAACTATGAGCTGTCTGTCATCGGTTCGGTCTACAGCGCAACTTGATTGCCAAAACAGCACTG